ATGAATGTTTAAGTTGTCAATGGACCTCTTCCCTGAAACTGAACTTCAAAAGCATATTTAAAGATTAATTTTTTTTTTTTTTTTTTACTTAGTTTTTAAGCACACTGGATTCTGTTAAAAGCCTGTCATTAGTGTAGGACAGCTTGTAGAACACACTAGAGTTTGATGCTGCCTTTTCCCATTCAAGATATCTGTCATGACGGAGTCCTTACCTTGGGTTTATGTCTTTTGGTGTGAAACAGGCATAAAAAGGACAAAGATTTTTTTCACATAGCCTGAGGAATTCAGCAAAAGCTGGAGCTGTCTAAACCTTGAGGACTCTGCAATGCCCTCTCGCCCCAGCCTGTCCACCACTGCAGAAGGTGCCTGACTGAGGGCAGGGCTGCAGCCCTGGCCTGGAGGATGGGGCAGGAGGAACATGGCATCTATTGGAAAAGAAGTTTAGTTATATCCAGTTCCTGTCTGCTTTCCTTCCTTTTGCAAAAATAAAAAAGAAACCACCATTGCCTGAACAAAACACCTGGGATTAAAATTGTTATGAGACTGATTTTGGATTTTGTGTGTGTTTGGTTTTGTAGTATGAACATGTAATTGATTCCGGTAGTTTTAAAATCAATTTTAAAAAAAAATAAATTGACTGCAGTAGCATTGCTTAATATAAATCGACTTATTTGTTGCAAGTTCATTTTCTGCCTTGAAAAAATAGAAAAGGTAGCGCATTTGCAGTGTATTTTCAGGCAAGAATTATATATGCAATGTTTGTACTGAACAAAATGGCTCTTTTATGAGGTATTGGAAAGTTTTTAAACTTAGGAACGAGATAACACCCCCTTGAGATGATCATCAAAATCCCTTTAATAGTTAAGATTCGGCCTGAGTGCTTTTCTCTACCTTTGCTCCTCAGTTTGCCAGCAATTTTGTAGTTTATAGCCCTCAATATTTTATTGATTTGGTGGATTTTTATTTTCACAGACAAATCGTTCTATTTAGCTTTGTCTGATTGCTTTCACTTGCAAATCCTCAAGTAAGATTCATACAATTACATATGTATGTTCATGTGCTCCAGAACTGAAAATGACATTGCTGGGTTTTATTTTGGTTTAATTTCTTTGCCACCTCTCATAGTGCCACATGCTGCAAGTGGAAACGATTTACTCAGTGTACTTTGAGGGTGATTATTTTTATGTATTTATCCTCATTGTTTTATCCCTTTGGATGATGATTCTGCTGCTTCCCAGTGCAGTTTATTCTGTTGACTAATTGCTCTATTAAGACTGTTTTCCTCTTATCTAACTTGACTTCCTTTTCCTATTAGATGATTGTTCTTTTATGATCATTTTTATATTAATTTGTACAAATGAAATTAAATATTCATTTGGGATGAATTTTACTGCTGCAGAAATTAAAGGCTTGCCTTTAATTTGTAGCACTCTGAGGCATTTTCTTTTTTCCCCAAATTTCTCCAAGTGATTCAGTGATGTGAGTACACTGGGAGAAGCGACTCACAGCCTTTAGGAAGCATTTAACCAATTTTAGGGACCAGCTGGTAGTTATTTGCTTTTTCATACATGCAGGATACGGCTTATATTTTATATATGATTTATATATTTTAACATGGGCAGATAGGGATGGGAGAAGGGGGAAGATATTTAAATTAAAAGAGGCAAGATTTAGGTGAGATGTTAGGAAGAAATTCTTTAATCAGAGGGTGGGGAGGCCCTGGCACAGGGTGCCCAGAGAAGCTGTGGCTGCCCCTGGATCCCTGCAAGTGTGCAAGGCCAGGTTGGATGGGGCTTGGAGCACCCTGGGACAGCGGAAGGTGTCCCTGTCCATGGCAGCGGGATGGAATGAGAAGAGCTTTATGGTCCCTTCCAACCAAGCCGTTGTGACTTTATGTTTTGCGATTGTCCGATGTTGTGTGGGGGTCAGGCCGGATCCCTGCACGGCGCTTCTCACCAGCCCCTCTCTTGCAGGTCACTGGGGCCGCTGCGTCGGGGACTGCGGCTCGGGGGGCCTTCGCAGCCGGGCCGTCTGGTGCACCCACGCCGAGGGCTGGACCACGTTCCACGCCAACTGCGACCAGCAGGACAAACCCGAGAGCCAGCGGAGGTGCTTTAAAGTCTGCGACTGGCACCTGGAGCTGTTCGAGTGGGAGGTTTCGGGATGGGACAGGTGCGGGCTCGTCTCGGCTGCGGGCGGTGAGGCGGGAGCCGAGGTTTGTGTCACCGCACAGCACGGGCTGCAGCGCCGCAGCGTCCGCTGCCTGCAGAAGCTGAACGGGACGGCGGTGTCCAGCGAGATCTGTGAGTATTTCAGCCCGCAGCCGCCCGCTGAGCAGGCCTGCCTGGTGCCCTGCCCGCGGGACTGCGTCGTGTCCCAGTTCTCCGGCTGGTCCCCGTGCGGCGCGGCCTGCGCGGGCAGGCTGCAGCACCGCGCGCGGGCCGTCATCGCTCCTCCGCTCTACGGCGGTGCCCCGTGCCCCAACCTGACGGAATCCAGAGCCTGCGAGGCTCCCGCCTGTCCCCTCGGCGAGGAGGAGCACGCCTACAGCCTCCGCGTGGGCCCGTGGGGCGAATGCCGGCTGCCCCATCCTAAAGACGTGCAGCTGGCCGAGAGGACTATGCTGGATTTGGGGTCGGACTCTGGAGAGCGAAGCACATCTGGACTTGCCGGCGCTCATCCCCACCGCCATGCCGGGGAGGTGGAGATTGGCTACCAGACCAGGCAGGTCAGGTGTGTGAGGAGCGATGGAAAACACGCCGCGCTGAGGTAAGGGTGATTCCTGCTCCTGTCAGCCCCACTGGAGTTCTGGGATGAGCGCTGGCTCTGCCTGGCAGCACCACATGTGACAGTGAATGAGTCCCGTTCTTGAGTTGTAAATGGAATTTTCTATGGCTTTTTTTAATGAACCTTTTTTTTGTTTTTATTCCTTTCTAGCATATGTTGAAGATTTTGCATTCTTCTACGATTTGCGACTGTTTAAATTAATTTTATGTTTTTAATAATTCTCTTCTGGGTCTTTTGTTGTTGTTGTTTTGAGGAGATGGAATTATATATCACTTTGTGTTGTTGCTGGGCCTTGGCTATGGGAGAGAGTGGTTTCATTCTCAGTCATGTACTGCATATGTTTGGTATAAGACGCTAAGATTGCATCAGCTTAAACTCCTTCATTCTTACAAATCAGTGCAGGATAAAATAAGTCTGAAAAATTTGGCCTTGTGAATATGCTAGAAGGTATATTTTGGAAAGAAATCAGTGAATAAACCTGGGATTGTCATCCTTATTGAGGTGCCTGCCTGGCTGGTATAACTCTGGGTGCTGGTACAGGGCAGGTGACTGGCACGCCTGCCTTTGGTAGTGATCGTTGGTTTCTGAACTTATCTAATGTATTATCTAATGATTTCTCTCTGTCTATATAGGTTGCTTTCCTGTAATTTCCTGAATGTGGAGGTTACGGTAATGTGCAGCAAATAATGGAAAGATTTATTCTTTCTATTTCTCACATTTAAATTTAAGCTGAGCTCTGATGTTTGAATTCAGGTTGGATTTGGGTAGGTGTCAGTGGCTACAGATGACTGATAAATTGATTAACTTCTGAGAAAGTCAGAATTTCTGGAGATCTTACTGTGTTCAGTTTTTCAAGGAAATTAGAAGTTCTTGAAAAATCCTGCTCTTGAATTTTGCAGAAATCAATCTGTTTCTCAGTAATCCATAGCTCCTGGTGCCTCTACGAACTCAAATGGCAGAGAGAAGGGGTTATTTTACATCCAGTTCTCTACCCCTGTTAATTTCTGCAGTGTTTTTGCACACACACTGAGGTGAAAATACGAATTCTAACCTTTTTTCTTACCTACTTCTATTACACCCATAGCCAAGCATGGAGTATTTTTTTATCAGTCGGAAGAAAGGCTTTGTGAAATGTTCCAGCAGTTTCTAACATCTTGACGTTATTACTCGTCTCTTAATATATGCTGATTCTAAATATACAGATGTTATGCTCATGTAGCTGCTTGACTTTAATGGAGTCACTTGTGATTTATTCCACAGTGTGACCAGCAGTAGGTTTATCTGTTAACATTTGTTAGCTTTCTTCTGCCTCTTGTATCTCACTCCTTATCAGAGGCTCTGGAGTTTTGGTGACTATCCCTGATCGAGCTGTCTTCTTTCTTGTTCCTTTTTGGTTTTTTTGCTGATCTAACCCCCTTTTTGGGAGTGTACAGCTCCATTAGCCACCTCCTGGCAGTCTTTTTCTGCTGAGCTTGTCTCAGATTTACTGCAGAGCTGGGCCTGACCCATCCTTTGCTCTTGCTCTAAATGCAAGAGCAAAGCCCATTGATTGAGTAGAGGAGAAAAGGTCATGTCATGTTACAGCATCCAGACTCTCACATACTTTTCCTTTCTCCTTTTGGACCTAAAATTCAAAGCTAAAAATCCAGCCCAAAATCCAATCTGTGTTTAGTTCCGGGGCTGGAGTGTCACAGATATCAAATACTCCTGACAATGAGTCCCTTTAAGCATCCCCTGCTAGTGTCCTCCTTGTTTTGTTGTGCAGCAGATTTGCTGCCATTCTTCTGAAGAGCGGGCCCGATCTTACAGATGCTGCTTTACAACACCGAGGGTTTTTTGGCTACTGATAAAGAAGAGTAAATGCATTTGCATAACCCCGTAGTGGGGACTGGCAGGCAGCCAGGTATCTGCTGTAAACCAGGAAAGAAGTGCCTTATTTGTGCTCCTGCATTTTCCTGGCCAACATTTCCTATTTTTACTAACACTGCTAAGCAAGCACCCATTGTAAATTAAACTTTTGGAAAACTCAGGCAAGGAACAGGAATATCCCAAGATGTGCTTTAGCAGTGGGCTCTGAGCTGCTGGTCTACCGGGCTCTACCTTCCAGCACTGCACAGTTCTTGCAGGTGACAGGAGTGGTCAGCTAACCACCACCAAGGACCACCAGAGGAGAGGGGCCACATCCTCATCCTACCTCCTAATTTATAATGAGAAGATACCTAATTTATTACCAAGGTTGTTTAATTTACTGGTGTCTGACCGCAGGGCCGTAAGTAACTCTCTCTTATTTGGAGGAACATTAGCCTGCAGAAGACTGGATGCGCTGTGTCAGGGAAACACAGATAGGGATATTTTTGATGAAATATCTTTTCAGTCTGGAGGTTCCACATTTCTCAAAAGGGAAGGAAAAGGAACAAAGGAAGAGGAAAGGGAGGGACAGACCTTTTTGAAAATACCTGAAATGACAATTGAACAGCCAAACATCAGTACGCTTCGAGACAGGTCCACTTTTGTTCAGAAACTGTTTTGGTGTAGAAATGTTATATTCATGAAAATAAAAGGAATAACATCAAAATAGAATGATGCTATGGATCTGATTTGAACCTTTTAAAGACTTTGTTTAAAAAGTTGGAATTTTTTTCATACTATTTCAGATAGAATTCAGGTTTCATTTTAGTTCAGAAAAATGTTTCAGTTTCACCATAAGCCTTACATCCAATAACAGATTCAAACATAAGCAGTTCCATGCATTAAAAAAAAAAAATCTCTGAAAAAGATGCAAGAAATGAATGCGAAAGAAATTCTGCTCTTTTTGTTTTCCTGTCTCATCACAGTTGTAAAAATCTACAGAATGGGACAAAAGCACTTGATTTCCTTGCTTTTTTTTTTTTTTCTTTTAAATAAAAGGTTGTTTAGGTTAGACATAAAATTGCAGTTTAGTAAAATAAATGTGCATAGTTAGACATTGAAATTCTAAATAAATTTAACCTGATTTTCTAACCTCATGTGTGTGCTCAGCTAAGCATACTGACAAGGTAAAGTCAGGAACAAACACTTATAAGGCCTTTTTTATTATTATTTTTATTATTTGGATTAGGAGACTTTTATGTACATATTTCTTAAACTCTTCATTCTTAGTGTAAAATGACAACAGTGATATAATAGAGTTGGATTTAGGTTTCTGTTTACTTTACTTTGTAAGTGAAAATTCAGGTCAAACTCAGTCAAGGGACAACCCATCTGTCAAGGCAGAGGTGGAGTAGCATTCAACTCCTTTATTTGCCTCTGTAATTTAAATTTCCATTATCCATTTCCTAGTGGATTGTGCTTAACCACTTTGCTGTTGTACATTTTTAGGAAAAAAAAAAATATTTGCAGTTTCAGTGTTGACATTCTTCTGTTCTCTGGATGAATACAAAATTCTGCAGTCCTGAGGTGAAAATGCTGTGCTGTAAAATGCTATTTGATGGTTGTGATTCCAGGAGAGGACTTCTATGTTCACATTCCTCCTGGCAGATGTAGGAATCAAGCCTCACTGCTCAGGCTTGAAAGCAAATCCCTGAGACGTTAGAGAAGAAGGATATTTTATTTTCTAATGTTCTTTTCAAAAGTTCTGTCTCTCCTTTCTTTTGCTTTTATTTAAAAGCACAAGAAACAAAGGAGCAGTGATGGCTTTTTTGATTTGCATGAGTCACATTTTAATGGTCAGGCATTGGAATAGGCTTCTCAGGGGGATGGTTCAAAATGTGTGTGGATGTGGCACCTGGGGATATGGTTTAGTGGTGGACCTGGCAGTGCCAGGTTTACAGTTCGACTCGATGATCTTAGAGATCTCTTCTAACCTTAATGATTCCATGGTTTGATGGTTTTAGAAGTGGTGTCCTGTTTTTTCTCCTGTTTCCAGACTGTGCTGGGGGGCAGCTGCCTCTGTAGCCCCAAGATCTCAGAGTCTGCCAATGTAGTGCAAATGGAAGCCAGCACTTATTTTGCATCAGAACAGAGGCTCTGGTGCATTAAGTTCTGGAAACACCAAAACTTTGACATCTTTACTAATGTTTGTTTGGATGATAGGTCTTCCAGATCCCTTTCCCTTAGGTTAGTTGGATGGCAGGCAAATAAATACTCCCTGTCTTGACCACCCTGGTGCAGAAGGGGCTAATGTTTCTTCTGCCAAAGAAACCTCTGCTGCACAGATTGAATATATGGTATCTGAAAGAGCCCTGGCAGCACTTGAAAACCCTAAAAATACATTAGGAATTCTCGGAAGTGTGCCTATTAACACTGATTGTCAATTTCTAAAGGAAATAAATGTTTTGATGCTGTTGGAAACATGGCAAGACTGTCCATTTTGAGACCTTAATATTATTGGCCAAGTGCAAAGAGCAGGTAGTGTATATTCCAGCAGCCTGTAGGTGTTTGACTACAGAACAGGAGACACTGCTAAAGAAGAGAAAAAATGGAAATGGGTTGTTAACTCAGCTCAATTCAGGATTATCTTGCTCTGCAGCACATGGGTTTGAACATGAGTTCCCTGGTCAGGCATGACACTTCCCAGGAGACTTCCTGAGCCTGGCTGTGGAGGTGGTACCCTGTCCTCCTGGTGCTGCCCCTGTGCCAGCAGCATGGCCATGGTGACAGCTTCTTAGTGTACCTAATTACTTTGCAGATGATCCTTTCAGTGTGAAAGGTTTAACAATAACCGCCTGTCTCATCCTGTAATCTAAGGAAATGCATTCACCTGTGGTCCTGGAACAGTTGGGAAGGGAAGGCAGAGGTGACTCCTGTGCTGTGCCCAGCCTGATTTACTGGTGCACGGCTCCTGGGTGGTGTTGCTGCTTTTTCCAGCTGATGGACCTGTTCCCTCTCATTCCCACGTGGTGGATGTGATGGCTCTGTGACTGCAGGGCATGAGCACAGCTAGAGCTGTTGGGAAATGCCATTTTTGGTGTGTTGCTTTTTGTCCACAGCAGAAGGTGGTGTGGTTCAGCTCGGGGCTGCACAATTCCTGTGTCTCGTGGGTGTATGTGTGGCTGGAGATGGATGGTACTGCTCAGTGAGCAGCAGCCTAAAGTGACACAGCCACAGGGAGCTGCACAGTCAGGATGGTACCCAGGGCTGCTTTCCCTCCTCCTTTGCTGTTCTTCTTCAGGACTCTGCGAGTGTGAGACATGAGTGGGTTTCCTATGGTTTAGTGTTTTGTGTTTCTTTAATAAGTGGTTTATTGCTGTTCAGCACTCGAGAGGCTCAGAGGGCACTGTGCCACTTGAGCGAGCTGGGCTCTGTGCTGCTGCTGGCTGCTCACTAATGGATCCATCCTACGCCACAGGCACCACAGCGTGGGCTGGGAAACAATTCCTGTGGTTTTACACTGTCAATCCAAGCATGTAACACAGAAAAAAGCATCAGCTGTGTAAGTACTCTACTGCATCACACTTACCAGGTCGACCCCCAGGCAGAAGATCTAACCTGAGACATTAATATGTCCAAAGTCAGTTTAAAAACAGGGCTGATATAGTACCTCCTGTCCCCATATCCTCTTTCCTGTCCCTGCTGGTTTGGACACAGCCACAGCAGCACAAATCCGTGTCTGGTTTGCAGCCTCAGATCACTGAGTGTCTCGCAGGTCTGGGCTTTATCTGTATCAGATCGTCCTAAGTACATCTGTGACATGAAAAGCTGTGTCTGAATTTCATGCAAAAGAGTGTTTTTACATTTGTCTTTGTGTTGCTCGGTGTCACAATTAATTTGACTTGGAGGCTCTGAGTGAGTAGGTACAAGTTAATTAATTTTCTTTCTGTTCAGCAGTTGCTTGTAATTCTCCCTCAAAAGCCTACTTGAACAGGATGGAAATTGCCAGTTCCATGTCTCATTCACCTTGAGGTCAACAAAGTTAGCATTTTGCCTTTTATAGCAGGAGCAGTGGGGAGGATTTTCAGGGAAAGAAACAGCTATTCAGCCTCTGGCAAAGGCTTTTGCCAGTGCAAGGTGATTTCTGGGCAGGGATGGCTTTCTCAGCCAGTGTTGGCGTGGGTTTGGAGAATCCATTATGGGAGGTGTTGTCTGGCTAAGAACTGGGACTGGCAAAGATCATTTGAACCAGGACTCCAATCCAGATTTTTAAAGGCTACATTTTATTTGGTGTTTCAGTAAAGATCAGGCAGGACTAAAATCTCTTGCAGTGGTGCAACCCCAAAAGTGGATTTTTCTATTCACACTCTATCTAAATGGGGAGTTTTGATCACTTTAAAAAGTAAGATCAGTTACCCCTCCCCTCCCCCTGCAATTCTATGTTCTTGGACAGACTTGAGTTTTTTGATACCAACAGTTAGGGCAGTGTCTTATGTGCTATTGTTTTATCTACTCAAAATGAGGAATTATTCTTCCTTCTTTATGTTTTGACATGGGTGGCTGCCCTGTTGAAAAATATTAAAAAGGTAGTTAAGTGACCATTCGCGTGACTGCACCTAACCTAATGTTCAAAAAAACTACTCAAATCCCTGGATTAGTAAGTACATATATAATGATTATTACTTCCAGAACCTTTTGATAGAGCTGATATTTTATATCAGAGACAGCTTTGTAATCAGTTCCATTTGACTTGTAATAGAGAAATGAAATGTTTTTCAATTGTAAGCAACTATAATTTAATTTTGAGGGGGCTATATCACAGGCTGTTTGTACTTGTTAAAGTTGTTTAAGTAAACCTCAGTAAAGTCATCCTTGCAGCACCTGTGAGATTACTGAGTTTTATTATGGGTGAAGAAATTGAGACTAAAAGTTGTTACCATTTTCTTTGGTTTACTTTGAAGTTCAAATAGAAGCCACTAAATGCTGTTTTGCTGGTGGTTGAGGGTCTAGTCACACTTGATGTGTTTCAATGGGAATGTTCCTGTTGACCTATGTGAATAGGGGACCAATTTCTAGACTGGAGAAGGGAGTGAATGCTCTTTATCTCCTCTGCTTCCCCCATGAAGCTGCCCAGAAATCCTGACATGATTGTCCCAGTCTGTTTTCTTTAGAGGGGGAGATAGGTTGGCCAAACTGTGCTGTAAGGAATAGCAGGAAAGGTAATGGCTGCTCCCCTGGGAGCAGCTGTGGATTTCACACCTTTTAAGTGTACCTGTGCTTGCTCCTTACAGTTGGCAAAAGCTTGACCACAAGCAGCTGGAGGCTGGAGAAGAAAGATTAGAGTTCACACTGAGTTAATCAGATGTGGTCTTAATTTCAGAGGCCAGTTTGCATTGTCCATGTAACACTGTGCAGAAGTCAGAAGATGTTGTAGCTTTGGGACTTTTCAAAATGTTATTCTGGGATTTAGTATCTTGATACCAAATCTCATCTGTTGGTAGCCCTTAGAATTTGGTGTCACATTGTATTTGGCCTAGGGTGGTGTCTTGATATGTTACCGTATAAATGAGATCATGTCCTGGTGTCAGGTGGAATAATTGAGTCCCAAAGTCCAACCCTAGTTGTGGCATTCCTGGGTCTCTGGTTGTTTGTCAGGTTGGAAAACCCTTTGACCTTGTTTGACAGCACCTGTTTGATAACAGCCTCATGGAACTGAGACCTTTCTTATTAGTGTGGGATTAATTACTGCTTAAAAGAGCAGAGTTGCTCAGCAGGATGGATGGATGGATGAATGAATGGATGACATCTAGTCCTGTGTGTGGGATGCTAGAATGGTTACCAGTGCCAGTATTTCTCTTGGGCTTGGATTTTGTTTTCCATATAGGACAAACTGTGAAATTCTAGCTACACAGGAGCAAATATAATGCCTTGTGCATCTGTTTTAACTTGATATAAATGAGATATATTATTTTAAAAAGTACTCAGCTTGCAAGTTTGCACCCAGAGCTCATTGGAAATATGCCCTGTATTAGAACTTCTCTTAAATGCGTTGCACTGATGTTGATGTACATCTGATTGAATGACCATGGATTTCTTCTTGGGGAATTTGGATTGAAAAAGAAACTCATTAAGCAAGACCTCCTCAGCTGTTGTACTGTGTTCTTACCACAGCCTCTGCCTGCAAGACCCTGTCCCCGTGACCTCCAGGTCCTGTGTCATCCCCAAGGACTGCACCACGTCCGAGTGGTCCCCATGGAGCCCCTGCTCGCGCAGCTGCGGCTGGGGCAGCCTCACCCCGGGGCTCCGGAGCCGGAGCCGCAGCGTGCGGAGCGTGCCCGTGGGCACTGGGAAGCCGTGCCCGGAGCTGGAGCAGAGGGAAGCGTGCAGTGGAGGAGGAAAGGCACCGCTGCAGCCCTGCCCCAGGTATGGCCAGAGCTTCTCTCCCAGGTTTTGGAAGTGAAGAAGCCCCTGCAGATCCTCCCTGCTGGGTTTGTGCATGGAGAGGGTTGCATGCGATGCTTACTCTCTGCCTGAGAAATCATTGACTTGGTCATTGTTAGCTGTGATTAGTGGTATTATTTATTGTCAGTAATACTCTTTTAATTGGTGCTATTTTAATTATTACTGTTACAATAACTACAGTTATGTGTAGAAATAAATTTGAATTACACTACAGTTTGCATTTTCATATTTTAAAAACTGTGAGCAGTTGCTCTTGTTCTCTCATAGGGCTTTTGTACTGATTGCTGTTTCAGAGAATTTTATCAGCTGTGCAGAAACTGGTGAGGTCTCCACAGCTGAGCTTTTATTAGCTTTAAAATTGTAATTTTTGCATAAGATTTAATGATTCCTCTTCATCTCCCCATAAAAAAATCCCAGTCTTGCTTGAGGAAGATAGGAACTTCTTGGAGGTAATATCTTGGATTTTACTCAGCTTCCCTCTGTGTGCTTCTTGAAATGGGAAAATTTGCAGTCCCTGAGAGCTTGCTTGGTTTGTGGCATGAAGGAGAGGATCTCAACTTTCTGGTCTGCAAGCCCATGCCATTATGCTTGGCCAGGCTAAGCCTAGGCCAGGCTAAGCTCCTAAGAGGAACTTGATAGTGTGCTTTGCAAAGAAAATAAAATATTGCTTGATTCTTCGTGTGACATGTTCTGAGATTGACTGTAAAATGCTTTGGGATTGATAGAATTTTATATGCATGCAGAAAAATCTCCCTCTCTGTGAATGAGTGTGTTTAATAGGAGCGCTCAAGTCATGAGTTTCTGGGGCTTTTGCCAGATACTGCCAAAACCTTCTATAAAGCCTTTGCAAGATACATTTCTTAGGAAGGCATCACCTGTAAAAGTGTCTCTGTATCACTGGGCTCATTCAAAATCAAATGCTGATCATTTTTATGCACCCTGCCAGCAGAAGAGAGGAAGTATAAAAAAAGTATTCTGTTTCTTGATTACATCCTACGGAAAGGCTCTTACAGAGTGATTTTTGCTCCTGCCCAAGTGCACATCAATTTCAAAGACAATAGATTAACACATTGTCTTGCTGATTTTGTACAGGAGCGTGGGTGCAGGTGACACCTGATTGGGGGAGACTGGCTGGAAGTTAATCAGGGAGTGAACAGACGTGGCTCTGTCCCTGGTTTCTCACTTCCCCTTTTTGACATTGCACTGTATTGAAGGGCAAATGGTTCTGTAGAGCCAGGAGAGCCCAAAAGGTGAGAACCTGCAAACCACTGATAATTTTTGTAGGTGCCTCTCTCTCTGTAGAAGAAAATCTGTTGGTCTTTCAGTGTATTTCTGCTGTGCCCAGGTTTTCATGAGGCTGTGAACTCTTGAAAACTTCCTCATCTCATTTTGCCTCCCTACCTTGAGGCAACGCCTCCAGGGCAATGTCTGCATGAGTGAGGATGAACTCTGATGTGCTAGCTCAGAAAAATAACATTAAACTTACAGGTTAATAGAGCCACTTAGCTGAAAATATTAAAAAGTACAACTCTGGTATTTAGTTAATTGTTATTTCTAGGGATGTAATATCTCAAAATGCAGGTGGTAGGCTATGACCTTCTCACACTGTGCAGAAGAATTTTACAGCAGTGCCTGGTTACTAGACTTTGATTGATTCACTCAGTATAAAGAAACAAGCCAGAATGAAAATCCATAATATTGCAGTACGTGCTGTGTGTCTACTGGATGTAAGGCTGCGGGGACCAGGATTTTGTATTCATGAACAGAAATAAAATACGTATGTTATTTAGGTTTCAGCAGCTGGTAAAGGTTGCTATTGGTTGATGTTTCAGTTTGCAGCCTGGTGATTTGGTGTTGGTCCTTGGGAATTGGTGACTGAACTACTGGAGTACCTTTCCAGACATAGAGAGATGTAGTGTTAATCCCTGTGAAACAATACAGGAAACCTTAGATACTCCTATTCTCCTGATTTGACCACATTCTATTTGTAGGGTAAAACCTAGAAAGATTATACCTTTTTCCCCCCACTTATATATATGCCACTTTATCTGTGGTTTGCTGAGGCTTAGCAAACAGTGATCTTTTCTTTCTTCCCCTTAAAAGGAGATGATGAATTTAAGGACCTTCACTAGCAAAAGTAAAAGCTTACAACGTCTTTCATTTATCTGGTCTTAACACAAACCACTCCTTTTTTTTCTGTTTGCCTAATCAGATCAGATTTTAAATCCTTTAAGGTGAGACTCCTGTTTACTTTCCCAGTTCCTAGAAATCTCTTTTGTTTTAGGTTGATTTGGAAACAAGAAGTCAAGTCTTTCCTTCAGTTTTATTTTAGGGCAAGAATTTTCCAAAGCATGCTTCAGCCACAGCAAAGAAAATGGGCTAGGACATAGACCAGAACAAGTTGCTGAACAGAAGGAATGGGATTAGGAAAAAAATAATATTGTATTTAGAAGACTATTAGGAAGAAATTCTTCATTGCGAGGGTGGTAAGTTGCTGGCATAGCTTGCCCAACAAAGTTGTGGCTTCTCCAGCCCTGGAAGTGTCCAAGGCCAGGCTGGATGGGGCATGGAGCAACTTGGGATGGTGGAAGGTGTCTGTGCGCTTGGCAGGGGGTTGGAATGAGATGATCTTCAAGGTCTCTTCCAGCCCAAATCAATCTGGGATTTTATGATTTTCTAGAGGCTGTTTTTTAATGCAGAGGCAGAGAGCACCTCATGACTGAATGAAGGTACATAGTGTGGGCTTCATCCACTGACATAAAAAAGCAGCAGCTAAAGAGGTAGCACTTGCAGAGTTGTACTCCACAGAGAAAGGTGGGTGAAGTTATATTCCAGTCTCCTAAAAGGATCCAGAGATGACAAAAATACTTTAAGCCTCAGAACTTCTCAGTTAAATGTAAACTCTATGCCTGTGGCAAAGCTCCAAGTTAAAGGTCCCATCACAGGTAGGTGACATAGGTGTAAATTCGCTGTTAAATGGGAAGGGCTTTTAATTTTATGGCTGAAGTTTACAATAACATCTATAATCAATAGTCTAAATGCAAGAAGATAAAACATTTTAACTGCATGTAAGACTCCAGAGCTTTGTGCTTTGTTTTACCTTTGGTTATTTGTTCTGAAAGGATTAAGTGCTTAAAAAGCTTAAACACATAGGAGGTGATTCTACTTTCTTTTATTATGATATAAATTTGGGATAGTTCAATTAAAGTGAATGGGTATATACAGGTTTAAAACTTGTGTAAACACTAAGAGAATAAGTCCTATAGACTAAAGAGACCATGAGGTTACCATAAATTGGAAAGATATTGAGCCCGTTTGTTTCATAACTGTCACTGAGTCATCAGTTTTAAAACAATGTATTGTATCTTTTTTATCCTTGATGTGTCGCTTTCATGTTCGCTGGGAATAGATAGATTTTCCAGAATTATGATTATGTCTTCATATCATTCATTTTGGTTGTGGTTGCTATGTTACGAGACAGGGATATAGCAAAAACTCTCTTTGCTTTGTTGGAAATTCAAAGCTTTTCAGAAGTTAAATGATGGAAAATGGACACGTTTTAAGACTTGATTTTTTTAAGAAGGCTTATGGCTGAGATACAGGTGTGATGGTATTACGTTGTAAATGAGGTTTATTATGCCCCAATTAAAGATAAGGCATTAAGTAGTAAAGATTGGAGAGGAAGTGCAGTGAGCTGTGCTAGAAGGCTCAGCAGTTATACTTGGGGAGTGGTAGCAAAGCTACCCTTCAGCCCTTTGACCTCCTGGTGGGCTTGTTAATGGTGATGAAAATGTGTCCCTTTTAATGCCTGGAGGTCAGGATTTGTTTTTGGAGTGCTGGACAGCTGAGGACACGTGCAGGTAAGAGCAGACAGGGCTGAGGCTTGGGGCTGGTGCCAGCGGCACTGGCAGAGTGCCAAGAGCTGTCCTTGCTCTCTGCTCACACACAAGTTACTCTGGGAGAATATATAAAGGGAAATTTTTTTTTTTTTTTTATAGATTCGGGAGCTGATGAAGTTTAATTATCTCTCTGAGTTCAGATTTAGTTATTTTGCATAATTTTAATCACCGATGGCCTAATTTTCATAGGTGTTAACTCCCGCAGCTCACACTGAATAGAAGAAGCAGATGCTCACACCTCTGGAAATGAGTCTTTAGGATCCAGAGTTCACAGCTGACTTCCTAAGCCAGATATTGATAATGAGTTTTACCTCAGTCAATTTTTGCTTTAAGAAATACTTCCTTAAAACAAACTGTTTTCTTGGCTGCAGAAAGATGTGTATGTTCTGTATTTAAGATTTTATTTTCAAAAGTAGACCTGGAAAGAACAGAGTACTGAAGGGATGTGGAGGAAGACTCTTCTTTACCCAGTGTTTGATGAAGAGCACTTTTCATTGTCTTTATGGTTGCATTTAACACTGCAGGCCCAAGAAATGGGATTAGGAATTCCCAGAAGGAGCTAACAGGAAGAAGAATTCATGGTTGTGCTTTATATGTTGTGGGAGTTAGGTATTTGATACTTGTCATGTGAAAAGTGTGTTATGTATTATTTTCTTTAGGGGTAATGAACCCTGTGAGTGTATCCAGATGTGCAAAAGATGCTGTGAGTTATTTAAGAGAGCATGACAGCTCATCTGAACAGTACCTGTAAATGCAAGTAATTGGCAGTATTCACAAATATTTTCTGTGAATACATTACAAGATTTGGAAGTGCTTTGGGGCTAATAAAAAAAAACAAAACCATTCACAAAAAAAAAAAAAATCACAAAATAAATTAGGAGAACATTGATGTATGCTCATATTAGTGTGTTAATTTTTCATATAGTTTTAAAATGCAGGTTTGCTTGCCATAGCTGTAGTCAGGAGCAGGTACTGCAGAGAACACACAGAATTATGATGTGGAAAGCTTTTTCTGCAGAGGCACCCCACTGTGTTTGAGTTTACAGTGATCAGTCAGCAGTTAAGGAACATATGTAGTTTTAACAACTGTGGATCTACTCTGAAAGGAGAGAGATTCGTCTTGAGACTAAAGGAAGGAAATTATTTTATGTAGTTTGCATTACACAAAACCCAAAGATTCCTTGGTAAAAGTAAACTAGGAAATTTAGAGGAGTGGAGGCATAAAGCACCACAAGTGTGAACAGATTGGTTATAAAAACAATATTGCCTAAGATTTGCGTTTGGGAAGCTCGGGAAGACTTTGTGCTCTTATTTACTCCCCTCATACTGTGACCTGTGAATCAAAGCGAGCTCTGCCTGTGGAAACAGTTGTGTTAGAAATATGCTCTGCATTTTCAGTCGTGATGGGGAGATAAATCCTGCTTTCCACAGACACACAGCACTGTTTTCCCTGTGGTTTTAATAAGTTCTTCCTGGCATTTAAGCTGGTACACACCAACAACTGTTGTCTGTACAGCATTCACCTGCCTGTGCCCCAAAACGTTATAATTCCTTGAAAGCCTTTAATGCTCTTTAGGTGTGAATGGAATATAGAATGAAAGTATTTTTTGTCTAGAGCTTGCTGTGTATCACAGCTTGTGGAAAATGGAATTAACTGAGATGCTTTAGCCAATCCCCTGAAGGAACTGGCAGTACCTTAGGCATTTAGAAAGGTGCCCCCTGTGGAAAAGCTGCAAGTGCTTGGAGCTCTGTCGATGTATGTGGGATTTCAGCTGTTAAGGGCATTTCAGAGAGAGGTGTTCAGCTCTTGGCAGAGAAGGGTGGTTTAGTGCTTTGAGAGACATGTTTGAAAACTACTGTTCACACTTAATCAAACCTCTTAATCTTCACTCATTTTTTACACTGTGCTCAAAGGTGCTGTCAGGATGATTTAGTGTTTCAGAAGGCTTTGGAGATTGGTGCTCTGTCAAAAGTTTTACACAAGTGCTCCAGACAAATAGCACATACTTAACCTATGTAAATTTAATGCTCAGAATGTTTCCAAACATTCCCTGTTTTGGATAGAAAAGTACTGCTATAAAGATTAAACCAATTGTATTTTGTCATCTAATAAAGTACTTCCCCCTTACCTGTAGTCTTTCAAAAACTCATTTTACTCTTCTCTTTCTATTCCCAAAGGTTTGCCTGGAGGACTTCTGAATGGAAAGCTTGCCAAGTGTCTCTGCTCCTTGACCAGCAGGACCCTCACCACCAGAAGCAGGCAGGGCTCTGCGGAGGGGGGATCCAAACCCGAGTGGTCTACTGTGCCCAGATCGTCGTGGAACTGGGGACACACCGGCTGAAGGAGGGTGTGTGTGCAGGGTCACTCTGAAATGCTGGCCTGAGTAGATTTGAGTAGGAGAAACAGGAAGAAAGAAATAGATAATGTGGAGTCACTGGTAGCCTTTGGCTTGCTGATGCCCTCCTTGTATCCATACTCACACAGGGAGGTACTGCTCGGCACCAGAGGAAGCCCTGAGGAACTGCCAGGAGCCACAGCCTCCTGGGATGAATTGCTGCCAGTTCTGTTGTTCACTTGCATTGGGAGAGTTGCAAAGGATGAAGGAACTAATTTATGCTTGGAGTTGACTTTTCTTCCTCTGTCGTATATCAGGAAGCCCAGCCCCTTGGTAGCTGAATGCACTTATCTGTAGTGTAGTCTTAGTTTAGAATATAAAACAGGTTGTCACACACCATTCCGGATATGGCTTTAGCCAGTGCTTCAGATTGATACACAATCTTTCTTGTGATTTGAAGGGGAAAGCAAAAATAATATTGTCACAGCTTTTGAGCAGACAGATGGGTTTTGGACTCTGGAAGTGAGTTATATTTCCTTTAGAAGAATAATAAGTAGTTACAGATTCACAGTGAATAATTCATCATAGGCTGTTTTATTTACTCAATGTGGTGCTCTTGCAGAATGTGTTTTTGAGCAGAGATGTAAGATAATAGCAACACAATATTACGTCTTAGATTTATTTACTTACAGAGGAGAATCAAGTGTTTCCCTGATGCCCAGTGTGTGTCCCAGCATCCCTCACAGACTCTGAGGTTACTGTAAACCAGACCTGTTTCAGTCTCTATTCAGTCCATGCACAGTGGCTGATTCACCTCTCCCAGACATCTGGCACTACTTTGCTCTCACAACACAATCCCTCTCTCTTGTTCCACACAAGTGAGTGATGCAGGGAACTTTCAGAGTCAGAAAAATGCTGTTGATGAAAGCTGCGTGGCATTTATTGACTTGGTTCATCCTTCTGAGCACTCCTATGTTCCTTGCAGCCACTGTGAGGCAGGCTGGTGAGCAGAGAGCTTGAACTGACTTCATCCACACTTTATTCTTTGTCAGAATTGTGAGCTTCTCAGGAAGACTAGAGGAGTGCCTCTGAATTCCTTAAACATTTACATATCTCATGGCTAGTGGTGCTACATATCCAGTGCATGACTCACCTGCAACTTTTTCCCTTGCTCAAAGTTCAGTTCATCTTAAAAATTGCAAGCCCTCGCCTCAACTTAAAAAAAACCAAAAACAAACCCTGGGATACTTCTTCCTTTTATTTACATTTCTAATATTTAAAAATAAAAAAATCGTATAGGCAGCTGAAAAAACCCAGATGTGCAGAGCAATTTTACAAGGTATAAACTGTTACTGTAATTTCAAAGCAGAAGTGCAGATGTACAGTAGTGAAATCCCATCTATTGTCAGCACAGTCACATGCAAGTGAAAACAGGGAAAGCCTTCCTTATTATCCCTCCTCATCCAGTATTACTGTACCAATTTTTCAGTGATGAGGAGAAGATGAGGAATTTAATCCTCTGTGTATAAGCAAATACAGTGTCTAACTGCTACCATCAAAAGCACAGTAATTTTTCTTTCTTCACCTCTTGAGTGTCCTTAAAGGGATCATTCAGGAACCAAGCAAGCGAGTCTAATGGGATATTACCATCCATCACTGTTGTTATTCTTCTGGTTACTTCCAAAGAGAATTTGGACCTGGGCCAAATGACATATGTGAAAGAAGATTTTGTCCCGTGGTCTCTCCAGCAGCATTCTGGGATAAAATATGTTGAATCCTAGTTGGAGACAGGTACCATCTGTGATGTGTTTATACATACTGCTCAAAGCTCTTTCATTCCCCAAGGATATCTCTCCCATTTTTTATTTGCTTAGTCTTCCCACCTATTTCTTCTTTTATTAAAATGTGTGTGTTTGGAAAGGGAGCACCTGTTTCCTTGAGTCCCTATATATCAGTTGTTCAGAAGGTTAAGTCTGCTGAATTCTTTCTGTATTTTGATTATAAGGTTCCAACTTGAAGATACTGAAAATGGAAAATTCTCACTCAGGTATTACTTTAAGAAATGCATTGATAAGATTTCATATATTTCTCTCCCAAGAGGTGACCTAACTAAGAAATCCCTGTCTTGATCCTTGTGAAGTTATATGTTTTTTAAGCCATGAGGAGGAAGTTCATACTATTAATGTGGGTATTTGGAAGAAGAAGATCTTGCAGTCTGAAGTCCTTGGTAATATTCCTGCATTCTGAGGCTGTTACAGCTAAATTTAATTGGTAAATGTGTAGTGATGTGTACTTCAGAGGTCTGTGTTCCTGTGTGTGTAGGTAACCTAAGTGAAGAGACTATGCTGGTTTTAATGCTGACTGTTCTGTCCAAGGAGTCTTCTTGTGAGGCTTTTTTAAATTTAGGCTGAACTTTAGCATGATTACCTTTTGACAGATCTTGCTGTTTTTAAGTATCTCACTGAATTTTAAGAATTTAACTTGTTTAAATTGATAAAGCTTAATTTTTGCATAGAGGTTGTAATCTGGTAATTCCAGAGATGGAAGTGGCAAATCTGCATGTTTGAAATGATGTCTCTTTTAAAGAGGGAGACACATTTTACACAGAAAGTAGCACAGAATATGCAAGTGAGCAACTTGTGGTACAGCCCTTTCTGCTCTGGATACTCCCTGATTCCTGTGGCTGGACATCCTGTTTCTGGAACAAACTGTAGGAATGGTGACTATCCTTTTTTTGTACCCCTTTTTCAAAGTAGGTCTGGTCACTCATATGAAAACCCTTTTAAGCAAAGTAGAAATGTACCTCCTTAACTTATTTTCAAAGCTAGACACTGCTACCATAGGACACACATGCTTTCCTCTCTTCTGTAAGTGGGTTTACAAAAAAGAGATAAGATTTTTTGGGTTTTACGAAATTTTATCTGAAATGTATTTTCCCATAATAAATTTTAATTGATCACTAACTAGCAATCCCCAGTGTACCAACAAAAAAGACATCTGGAAAAGGTAGGGAAGAATATTATGCAGCAATCTGTTTATGAAACCTCTCCTTGTATGCCAGTACAACTCTCCTCTCAATCACAATAAATTATTCCAGTGATATGGGAATGAAAATTCCTCTTAGAATCTGGGACTAGTGTCTGTATTTATGTTCAAACAGTTAATAAATGTATGTAGTTCCTAGATTTAATCTTTTAACTCAGGACTTTTTAACTTTCTTTTCTGAAGATCAGGGAGTATCCTTCTGTTTTCTAATTAATTTTGCTTTTAGGATTTATCTGGAAACTGTATCTCTTTATGAGTAGTCTGGGAGATGGCAGTCTTTATAAAATACTCCAGAAGTATTTCCTCTCTTCTCTGAACTAGTTACCTGCTGTCTCTAGTGACTGGGATTGCTGTTCTTTCCATATTTTCTGTGGTTTTCTAACTAGGGTTCTGTCTGCCCTATCATTCTTTCATAAAATTTGTGCCTTACATATCTTGACATTTTTCCTTTTTTACTTGTTTGAATGAGATCCAATTTACCTCTTCCTTTCAGAATTTTCTTAAAGTGTTTTTGCAGCCTGTCTGCTTAAGTTTTAATTATAAGACTGAAAAGACCTTTGTGAAATAATGCTTTACTTCGCTTAATCCTCTTTATTGTTTACTCAGCATAGTAAATGTGGCTCATAAAATGTATCTTATATTACCTGCTCACCAGAAATCATTGCAGGTTCCTATCTTCTTAATCTTTGTTATTTTACATCTGAAAATCCACATAAAATGGATGTACGTGCCTGTACAAGGTTCTAAAGTTTTGTTTACATTTTTTTTGTTAATGAGTTTCTCTATCATATTTGACTCCATATATTCATTTTTATTTGAGCTTTAATTTCAGTAGCAGGTATGTGACACAGTTGTGCCTTCGTTATTTTTGGATAGCTTTTAGTATTACCCTGCAAAACTATTTCTTACAGAAGTCTCTATTATTTTTATATTCTTTTATCTTTTGAGAGAGATTCAATCCTCACCTGTTGGTAGACATAGTACCTTGCCTGACTTACTCCACTTCAGTTCCCCAGCCTATACTAATTTTGCTTTATTTTTAGGATGCAATTCCACCTGGTTCATTTTATATCAGATTGTTTTTTTATAAACGTGTGTGTTGCCAGCTGTAACAGCAAAACCTCCTTTAGTCTGTTTACAACTGAGGACTTGGAAAATACTCAAGTACCTGTTCAGGTCTAATGGTTATTCTCTGATCCATCCCTGTGTGTATTCCCTTATGTAGTTTTGTCTTACAAGCCCCTTTACTGACAGAACCACAAAATGGTCTGAAGCTGAAACTGGTCCCCTGCACTTTCATCTAAGTCCTACTTCCTTGAGTCTCAAAATGATTATTTTATGGGCTTTATATGTTCTTGTTTTCCTCAAAATACTGAGCTTCCTCCCTACTGCTGATAGACAGAAATGTCTATTCCTTTCTTATCTGATGAGTGAATTTTTCAGACTCTTTTTGATTCCCACATGGGAAATACTTTGGCATTGTGTTTTGTTTTTCAGATATTGGCACCTCTTTGGACTTGCACAGAGATTAATTTGAGGAGTCCTTTCATTCATATCTTATGTTATTCTCTATTTATTCTCATCCCTTTCTTTCTGCCCTATTGTATTTTTTAGCTCCAAAATGTGCTGTTTTACTTTCTTTGCTCTGTATGCTCTGTTTCCTAATGAGGGTGCCAGAATTTTTTTCCCTGCAAGTTCTTTGTTCTGCTCTGAATCATGACCTTCCACTGTGTGTCTCCTGGGGGATTGGTATTTCAAATTGGTGCATGTGGCATCTGTTCAATAAACTCTGGAAGTATTTTTGGGAAGAGGATGATACCAATGGAAAGTCCAGTTTGAAAGTGCCACCATCCCCTTGGGTGCCAGGGGTCTTGTGAAGCACCAGGTCTTACTTTTTAGGAACTGGGAGTTGGTTGTGCAGGTTGTTGTTGTTTTTGGCTGTTGCCATCCTGCATATTTGTTGGAAA